GACTACTGTTCGCAGTGGTGGGTGCCATACTTGACCGCATACCACCGAAGGAATTCTGGACGCTCGATTGGCCGTGGCCATTTTCTGTCCTGTGCAAACTGAACTGAACTGACTTCAATTGCGTAAAAATATTTAGATATTAAAATGATCATTTTCAATGAAATTCAATTATTACCGGGAAAAATAACAACCACAGCTGGGCCTTCTTGATTTCCTACAATCAGTTTCTCGCGCGCTTTTTTGTTTGTACTGATTGAAACATTTTCACGAATTCAAATTGGTTGTCATTGTAAATACATAGTCATTCTGACGACAAAGAAGCATAATAAGATGCTGAAATACCGAAAGATATGATATCGTACAATAATGTCAATAACTGCAGTACCTGCAGGGAATTCAAACGTGCTTCGTGAAAGTGGTTATCGTCGCTTTGAAGCGATTGGAATGCGTCCTGGTACCGCGCATGTGCATGTGACAGAATTGGCTAACACCACTATCAATCCGACTCCGAAACGTTCAGAATCGCGTAGTGAAATATTTGAAGAATATATTTGTGGGGCAAAGTTGGTAATTTCCATGCATTTTCAGTGTTCTGATAATTGCGTGTGTCATGTTCATCTAGAGAGACCTCACTGGTAAAGATGATTTATCAGTTGTTACATTCCTTGAGATAACGATTGATGTTGATTTGATTTCCTGTGGAAATTTTGGGTCGTTGCTACCGAACCTCCAGGAACTGCGGCTGGTAAAGAGCAACGTCCCTGCGTTGAGGTTTGTGTATGCAAGATCATATCGATCAATGGCATTGATACGTTTGTTTTTCAGGGACCTTGGAGCTTCTCTCGGAGCTCTGGAAATACTGTGGATGCCAAGATCTTGTCTCAAATGTCTGGATGGACTTTCGAGTATGGGAAATCTCGTAGAATTGTATCTGGCTTTCAATGAAATCAAGGATATCAGCTCGTGTGCCATGCTTGAACGATTAGAAATCCTTGACTTGGAAGGGTTTGTTATGAAAAATATGATAAAAACATTCCCTAGGAATCAAATATCGGATAAATGTAATCTATCCTTCTTGAAAATGTGTGCCAACTTGACTCACTTAACACTGGAAGGAAATCCGTTGGTGTCTAGTTTGGGCGGTGTCAAGGTTTGTGAATGCACTTCCAATGATTCACAACTTATAGAGTTACCGCCGGGAAGTTTGTAAAGCCTTACCACAAGTTCGGATGCTAGATGATATACCTGTAGAAAAAGAGGTTATATCAAAATATTCTGATTATTCTGTTGGCAAGTTTGAGGATGAGTGGACCTACATCAATTCTTTGTTGAAGGAAGTTGGCCTGTTATCTTCTACATCTGTGAGTTAAGTGTTTGTTTACCGTAGAAATTTGATCGATGGTTTCATCTGTGAGTTTTGCATAATGAATCACATTTAAAAATTTTGACCAGCATATGATTTCCTGAATTTTTGAAGTAGTACATTGGTTTGAAACTTTCACCCACTAAATATCGTCTTTGTCCTTTAACTTCGTTTTTTATTTATTGAATGAAAAATGTACAGTCAATTTTCAGGATAGGGGCTTCGGCCATACAAAGGTTGTCTAGGGAAACAGAAAAATTGGGAAGACGGGCTGCGATGGAGCAGTTTGAACCCGGGACTTTCGAGTCACAATATGGTGACCTAACCACTTTTAGATCAAAGCCGAAAGTAACGCTGGATAGCTGTTCCCAACATTTTAAGACTTGTCAGAAGTGCACAATTTTTGTATTCAGTCTGGAAACGAAAGCATTTTTACCGGAGCTATGGGGTTGCGGCTGGTTACGTGAATTTCATGATAAAGTTAATTACTTGTTTCTGTTCCTTTAGTGCTAATTGGCGATGATCTGTATACTGATTTTACATTGTGGGCTTCCGCTTTGTAGATTTTACTTATTGAAGTCGTTTTAAAAATTTTATTTTACGCACTGAACTGTATGAATAATGTGAGCTCTACGCCCTAAGCTGTATTGAACCGGTAATCCTTTAAGAACAAATGATAATCCTCATTGGTTTTGCACTATGCAGTCTCATTTGTTTGACACACAGTCTGGCGTCAAAAATGTGTGATATATATTCTCAGTTGAGTTCCTCTTTTACCACCATTAACGATGCACTTTTGTGCTCTGGATTTGGTTGCTTTCTCATGACTTCCCATTTAGCTGAATGCGTAAAAGGAAGGTTGGAATGTGCAAATCGGTGTCAGAGTGAAAATACAGAACTCATGAAAGCTAAGATTGTAAGGATAATGAATAGATACACGAGCGCCACTGCTTACGAAACAGCCAAATCCCTAACCATTGATTACGTTGTCTCCATCCAGGAAGCTTAACGCAACCTTAATGAGCGATTCTCCTGGACACACCATGTCTGAATTTGACATCCCTGAGTTCGTACGATCAATCATCCACCTCTTCAAACAGTACGCACCGTAGCAACCTGTTTTGTGATGTGCGCAACATATGCCCCAACCAATGTAGTCTGGGTGGTCAACGGCTTGCTTTAGTGGGTGACCGCGATTGCCTGAAACTCTGCGCCTAACCTCAGCATTACTTGTCCGGTTATCCCACTGGACTCGTGAATTGCAACGTGTATGTTAGTTAACCTTGAAATAGCTCAGATATCTCAACCTTGGTTTAACTCTTTGTATTCCGTACCCAGCCCTATTCTTGTATCTTTTCTTTCGACCCGTAACATTCCCTCAGACAACTTGGTCGTCACTCGCCAAAGGTCGTTGCCAAATGGCACTGTAAATAGTTTTCCTGTAAATAAAGTGCAGATTCTGAATCCTCGTCCATCTCTCAATCTGGGGGCTGTTAGCGTGAGGACTCTTATGCAGATGGGTCAACAGGCGTGTTTTACGTGTACAATGAAGTCTCTACAAATCGATATCTGTTGCGGATCGGAGACACGAATTTAGGATCTTAGTATTACAAACCACCTGAGTGCGCAGGGTCTGTCATCAGGAAACGACAAAGCCCGCTCACTGGGTCATCGTGGTGTATGGATCGTACTAAGCGATAAAAACAGGCCTCTATGATAAATTGGATACTCGTCAACAGTCATTGTGCGCAACGAGGCTCCAGGGTTCAGTTAGTGTTCGGAAGGGCAGAAACACCAAAAGGTGTTTGTCCATCATTTCCGTGTATGCGCTAACCAACTGCAGTCCCGCTTCACAAAAGGACGAATTTTACAACAAACTCGGCACACTCATTTGGTTGAGCCGTATGTCTGATATTATAGTGCTGGTAGGTGATTTTAACATGCAGGTTAGAAAACTGAGTGCATCAGAAACCTGTCTAAGAGGGCAGTTCGCTCTTCCCACCCAGCGAATGGACAACAGTGATTGAATATTTCAGTTCTGTGCGGATCACCGTCTGCTAGTATCGTGCATCAACTTTCGACACGGCTCTCGTCGAACGGCTACATGGTGTTCTGGTTCAACGAGAAACTCGACCCCAATTGCCCACATAGCTGTAAGCTACCGTTGGCGTGATGCAAGACAAAATTCAGATCCTTTTGGACCATATACGTTGAGTCGGACCATGCACTAGTTTTGTTGCGCTTCACTCTTCCACTCATCGATCATCGGCAGAAATCGTCTCCTCAATTAGCTCATCATTGTCTGTGCGATCTGTCTGTCTGCACAAATTATGAAGAGAAGCTGGGACAGGAGCTAGGACAAACGCGACGTGGTGGAGTAGACTTGCGATGCACTGAAAAGCAAACTTTGCTTGTGTGACCAAGCCCGAAGTTCGCCGAAGGCATTGGATCTCTCAGGAATCAGTAATCCTGATGGATCAAAAGGTAAAGATCCCAATCTGCCGGAATCAGCATAGGGACCGGTGTTGCCTGCACCGTCAACTCAAGAAAAGTCATAAGAAAGATCGCGAAAATTGGTGGGCCAAAATAGCTAGTGAAATGGAGGTATCTTTTGCATCAGGGAACAGTCAAAGACTGTTTCACCTGATACGCAACACCGGAGGTCGTAGCAAGCCGGTCAGTGAAATCACTTGCGGTAAAAGTGGACAGAGTATCCACAACAAAGAAGAACGACTTGTTCCCTGGGCAGAATGTTTTAGTGAACAGTTCAAGTGGCCCAGTATTAATGCGGTCATTCCGGCTATTGCGGCGGAAACCCCATCGGTGGTAATATGCAAGCCCCCATCAGAATCGGAAGTACTAAGCTGCATTCAATCATTAAAGGAAGGAAAGGCAGCCGGACCTGATAGCCTATTCCCTATTCTTTTCAAGGTGGGCGGAGATTCTCTTGTCGACTCGATTACTAGCTTACTTCGCAGTATTTGGACGGAGAGCGTATCCCTTTGTTCTGGGGTGAATCCGATGATCGTCCCTATTTTCAAGAAGGGATCACGCAACGACTGCATTAACCACTGTGGGATTAGTTTAGTTCCGATTATCACAAAAGTGTTGATTTCTGTGATACTTCGTCGCCTAAAACTCTTAAGGGAGAGGAATATCCGCGAACAACAAACCGGATTCCAACTCGGTGGCGGTTGCATCGACCATTCTTCACTGTGCATCAATTCCTCGAACTGCGTCACACTAATTGTCGGTCAACAATCGCAGTTCTCTTAGACCTAAAAGGAGCCTTCGATTCAGTTGACCATGAAGTTCTTCTGGAGTCGCTGTTTCGCAAAGGGATACCGCAGAAGTATGTAAACCTATTTCGGTCGGTGTACCTGCAAACTTCTGGTAGCATAAGAGTCTATGATGGGCTAAGTAAATCGTTCGAAACTAGGAGCGGTGTTCGTCAAGGGTGCCCTATTACACTATTCTTGTTTATTTTCCCCTTAGACGAAATACTGAAGAATGCACTTAAATGTCTCCAAAACATAGGTATTAAATGGGCAACTGGAAAAAAGCTGTGCAATTTAGAGTACGCTGATGACATTGTTTGCCTGTTCAAATGTATGAAGGATGCGCAAAGCGCTCTTGACAGACTTTCAAGTTCTGTAACTCTATTTGATATGCATTTTGCACCTTCAAAGTGCAAAGTGATGCTACAAGACTGCATGTCGTCTACCCCAGGGCTGATGCTTGATGATCAAGAATTAGATGTAGTGGAATATTTCACCTACTCAGGTAGCTGCGTTACAAATGACGGCAGAATAGTCAATAAAGTAACCGCTCGCATTTTCAAGGCTCAAGTAGCTTACGCAGGAATGAAACATCTTTGGTGCAGACACGATGTTTCGTTGAAACTAAAAGGTCCTGTTTACTGCGTCAGTATGCGGTCACTTCTGATCTATGGTTGCGAGACTCTAAATTTGCGCGTGGCAGGTATTCGTCGTCTAGAAGTATTCGACTGCAGATGTTTACGTAGTTTGGCGCTGGTTGGATGGAACGAGCAACTTTGCGATAAGTCGTCGCGTATTTGATAATGATTCGATGAAGAATTTGTTGTCCCATCGAATTCAAATTAGTCGGCTTCGCTGGTTAGGACACGTATTGCGCATACCCAGTCATAGTCTACCTCGCCGCGCCTTATTCCAAGTTATGGCTCCAAGTTGAAAGAAACCGCTTGGAGGTCAAAAGATGACGTGAAAACGAGGCATGAAGAAATGCACAGAGCGATTAGGTAGAATTAGTGTCTCCCGTCTTCCAATGGTCCGTCATTAATGACATCGAATTCAACGTTGAAAAATGCAAGGTTGTATCGCTGCCCCACAGGGGTTGCTTTTTATAAATACTTGAAACTCAGCCATCGTCGCGTTCTCCAAACGAAAAGGATCTGGGAGTTATCGTTTATGAGGATCTAGGATGCTCCGCACATTGCGCAAGAGCGTCTTCAAAGGCTATAAAACACGTTGGATTGCTAAAAAGTGTTTTTGGATCATTCGAAATGGACCTATTACCGCGTTTATTGTCAGTATACATTAGACCATACACTGAGTATGCTATATAGGCTTGGAATCCATGGCTGATTCGCGACCAAAAGGCACTTGAACGTCCGCAGAGAACAGCAGTCAAAATGATCAAAGGGTTGCAATCTAATACCTACGGTGAAAGACTGCGAATTCTCGGACTCCACTCGTCCGAATACCGTCGAATATGGGGAGGCATGATCCTCGTTTATCAAATACTACATCAACCTAACCACGCCTGTAGTACTCTAGTGACGCTATCCAGGAATGGCCACCTCCGAGGACATCCGTTTAAACGTCTGCTCCAAAAGAGCCGGCTCGACTGCAGGTGTCATTCTTTCAGACTCAGGGATTTTAACACCCGAAACTCCCTTCCACCTCACGTTGTTTGTGCACCAACCGTCGATTCATTCAAGTCACGACTGGATGAAGC